TCCTGCTGAGATTTCTCTTCTTGCCTAGTGAGGGTGATAAAACACAGGTATTTATATATCAGTTACTACTTTACCCAAATCTGTGTATCAGGGCTTGGATTTCCACAATCTAGGAAGACTCAGTGTTCTGGGAATTTCTGGAAACCAGGTCACACCAGTATCTTACCGTCTCTTGCAGGGGTAAATTGGAAAAGATTTGACAATGAGAAATCTTTTTCCTCAGATATGGTATACTGGTAATGAGGACATAGGAGACTGGTCAGTGCCTGCTCTGTCCTAAGTTGATTTCCTCCCTTATCCAACATATTTTACGTATTCTGCAGTAACAAGGTTCACAAGTTGGACAGCAGTCTGTTTTTCTGTACTTCTCTAAGAAGCTGACAAGAATTAGTAAAGCTAATGTGGCTGAGTGGGGAATGAGACCAAGTTGCTCTTCAGTGCTCCCCTGCTTGGAGAAATGTCTCTGGTAATTTGACAATAGATCATAAACAAACGATCATAAACAATAGATCATAAACAAATTGACTTGAAAATAAAATTGTTTAGTTAGTTGCTGAGTGCAGAATCACTCCCCAGAAGCAGAAGAGATCAGTTAGATGCCTTTGGCCTATCCCATGGGAGAGGTGTGGTTCCTAGTGCTTTGTTTTTTTGTGTTTTATGAGTAAACACATACTAAAAAAAGAAAAAGGAAAGAGAGGCGTAGCCTGAAACTGCCTCCTGGAGGTTAGCTGGTATTGCCTTGGGGGAACCCGCCCTGGGATCACTGATGCTGCAGTAAGTGCTTCTAAGGAGCCAGCCTGAATGCTGTCATCGATTCTGTTGCTCCAGTTATGCTGGTCCTAAATTTTTCTGTAGCTGTGCTGTGTCCTGAATCACAGAAATTATCAAAATTAAAGAAAAGGATCCCCCAAAGCAACGATTACTTTAACCGTTCAGCATCAAGCTCCCAGCTGCGTCATCCAAACAGATCTAGTGGTATGGCTGAGGGGGGCAGCAGCAAGGCAGGAGCTAACAGCTTTGGGGGGGGGGGGGAAGGTTTTTCCTGGCTTTGCTGCTTAAACTGGGATATCAGGGCAAACACTTCTTAACTGGCTTTTCTGCTAAAACTACGGTATCGGGGAACTGTGCATGGGAGAGGGGCTGTAGGCATGTGGATAAGCATGGATATCATGTGCTGATACCAGCTGTCAGGACCAGTGGGAAGGAACTGGGGTAAGCTTGCACAGACTGCTTCCCCGTGATTCCCTAAACACCAAGTTTTGCCCTTCAGGGCTCTGTTCAGCTCTTTTACAGAGATCTGCCCTTGTCGATCCAGGAAGCCTATGAGATCCTGCTGTCCCAGGAGGCAATGAGCCTGCCACATTACCAGGTGTGTTGAGAGCTCCAGCTACTGTGGGAGGGTGAAGGCCCAGCCACTGCCCCATGCCCTGTTCCAGTGGCTGACGTCAGGGTAGGACAGTTAGGGAGGGAAGGAGAGCCATTCCGAGTCTTTCTCGATAACCTTCTTTTGTATGATCAGTTCCTGTTTCCTCATCTCTGTTTTTGGGCCCTAACCCTAGGGCTTTCTCCTCTGCCGGTGCCACACCGTGTTTACCCAGTTGCAGCAGCAGAGCTAAAGTAAACTGTTTGGTTCAGGGTAGTCATTTAACCTTCTCGTTTTTCTTTGCTCTAAGGTATTCAGCCACTTGAAGCAACTGGGTTATGTTGTACTGAGATTCAACCCCAGGTAACCGTCTTTTCCTTTCCATGCTGCTTTCTCCTTTCGGAAGACCCTCAGCAGCTCTGTGCCCACTGTATGGCCCCAATGGAAGGGCAGAGAAGACGACTGAGGAAACCTTGCATTTCACCTTTTGGGAGGATTAAAGGCTAAAAGTAGCCCTCTACCCTTCCTTGTTATTCCTTCTTGAGGAGGTGACCAGGAACATGAAATGAGGCATAACTTGAGGACCATCCTGGTCCTGCTTGTGGATTTTCTGTGCCTGGAAAAAGGTTTTTTGCTGCTGTACTCTGGGGTCTGGACAGAAGGGTAGCTTCACCACCCCATCCTGCCCTCAGCCCCTGTGTTGGTGTCTCCCTGCAGCACTGTCCTATCTCCCTACGAGAGGCAGCTGAACCTGGAGAGCCATTGCCAGAGCTCTGGGAAACACCATCGCAAAAGGAGGAGGAGTTCCAGCCCTCGGTAAGGATGTGTCCCCTGATGTGCTCTCGTAGACTAACCCTTTGCCTTGCCTGCGGTTACGAGTAGAAATTTTGCTCCGTGCCACTTGTGTTTCAAAACAGGAAACAAATACAACCCCAGTCTCAGCCATTTGCCCCCTGCAAGCTGTCTGGAGTTCTGAAGCTGGAATCTGGCCATCCCATACAATGACACGCAGCTGAAAGACTCCTGAAGGCATTATTCAGGTGGTCAGAAGGGCAGGATCGGTTCATAGCACAGCTTTTGTGATGAAGAGCCTCCTTCTGCCCATGCTTCCAAAGCCACCTTCCATCCTCTCCCAGGGCCTGGCCCAGTGCGCTTCCTGAACTCTTTACCAAGTCAGCCCTTTTGTCACGTCTGTACTTCACGTGGGGCTAACAGGGGCAAAGCCGCCCTTGTGCTTCCCATCTGCAGCGATAAGATGCCAAAATGGAAGGGGAGACAGGTCAGTGCAGGAGAAATACATGGCAGATGTCTTCTCTTGCTCTTTTTTTTTTTTTTTTTAAGAGGGAGTGCAGACACTGCAGTGCCCATCCTTCTGTTGTCCGCTCCTTCGATGGTGCTTAATGCTAGGACTATACAGCAGAGAGCATAGTGGGGTCCTGGTCCCTGCAAACAGCCTCTAGAAGTTGACAAAATGCAAATAGGTGCTGACATAACTGTTAATTTTGCTAATAATTATGACAGTTTCCATTAGGTGGCATCATCCTTTAAGAAACGGGGAGGGAGAGACTGGAGTGCAAGTCCCCTCCTGTTACCAAGTAAGTTGGTGCCCGAGGAGTTAGGGTGGAATTTTAGGAGTTGGGAGATAAAACTGCTGTTTTAAGAACTGTCCTGTCTTTTCTGGGAGCCAGGGACTGAAACTCACACCAGTATGAGATGCTGGCAGGGTGGTTTCTGCCTAGTCTATGCTGGTACCTAAGGCCTGTTCCATTCGGCTGGTGTCCATCATGTTTACACGGTGGCACCCAGGGCGGTGTATGGGCTGTGTGAAGGCTGCAGGGCAGATTGGGGATCATCACGGCAGGACTGTGCACGAGTCAAGACTGGGATTTTCCTGGGTGTTGAAGCCAGGCCTTGTGCAGGATTGCTGAGAGGTTTATACCACCTTTGGCACTCTCTGCTCGTCTTTGGCCTGCTTTGTTTCTTTCTTGTTTTGTCACGCAAGCAAACACCCTCCTCACAGCTGAGATGTTGTTGTCAAGGATTTGCAGAGAGACCCATGTGGGGGCTTCTGCCACCCTTCCCATCCTTCCTTTAGGCTTGACAGACTTCATCCTTCCTGTTACCAGGGAGGAGGCAGGATTTAAAGAGAGTACAATCCCACCACGAACCTCTCCCTCCCTTTTATGCTGCTGCTTCTATGTTTAGGTCGCATGAGAAGAAGCATAAAGTATCTGAGGGCCTCCCAGAAGCTGAAGGGACCTCCGAAAAGGCTGGCGATAGCTGTGGAGACTCCAGCTGCCTCCCCATGGATGAAATTCCTTTGTTAGAGCATGCAAAGGAGTCAGATGCTGGCAGTGGAGAGGGAGAGTCGGCCCCAGTTCCTCCTGATACAGGACAAGAAAAGGAATCTCCCAGCCCCTCCAGGAGTGGGGCTGGAGACCTGAGGGAGAGCAGCCCTGGCACCCGCGCGCCCCGCTGGGATTTTAGCACCATTGTCTTGCCGAACCTGGCCCCAGACCAGCCGTGCACACATCTGCCCTCACCTGACAAGGGGCTCCTGCCGGAGAACGTGCTGGGGAGGGAAGTTGATGCTGCTTGCTGGTGCAGATGCATCAATCAGAAGCGGGAGAAGCTGTCACGGAAGGAAAGAGAGCAGCTGGAGAGGGAGAGCAGGTACAAGAGCAGTGTCAATGCAGACAGGGAGGTGAGGCGCTGCTCCAACTGGCAGGAGTACAAAGCCCTCCAGAAGCAGAGGAGCCAGCAGAAGGTTTGGAGACGACCGCCACATCTCTGGGACCAAGCTGTCACTCCGCTTTTGCGGCCGGATGAAGCCACGTCATCAGGTACTGGGTCTGAGGGGAAGGAACTTGGCAAGGACCCCTCCGCTCCCTGAATTGGCACTACAGACTGGATGTGGGCAGAAAGAGTGCCTAGTGTACAGCAACAAAAGGGATGATGTGGAGATGCTGAACATCAGTTTCGGGGAGGGTTTCTTAAGCAGGAAAAGCCTCATTAGAAGACCTGGGCAAACCAAGAACACAGCAGCCCAGCCATGAACAGGGGGGAGAGGGAAGAAGACTTGTCCTGTTGCCTTCCCATTTTTTTCTATAGCCCATTCAAGTGCCAGGATAAACAGGGCTCTGGGAGGTCTTCTAATCTGTTCCCCGTGTCATGCTAAATTGCAGTCCTTCCTGTTAGGCTGTTAGGCATGTGAAGTCAAGGCAGGCAAGATGCAAAGCCACTGCAGGGTGTTCTGGGCTGCCTATTGGGAGGAGATGAGGAAGTTGAGGTCTTTGAAGTAGCCACTGGTGACTGTGGTGCTGCCAGTCATTGTCAGAGGAGGAAGACTTGTGGGTGGTGGTGGAGTCCTTGGAGTGCCCTGGGAGAGAAATAGTTGGTCTCATCCTTTCCTGTTCCTTCTCCCTCCAGCTGCTGTCCTCCAGCAGATCAGTGTGCTGCAGCCCTCCCACATCCTGGATGGAGCCTCCCGGTTAGTATCCTGCCAGCCAGCTAGTAGCAGTTAGGGAGAGGGGGCATCTTGTGACTGTCCCTGCTTGTGAGGTCTGCGAGACGCTCTCAGCAGCAGCGTGGGAGCTGCCTAGTGTCCAGGATGCCAAGAGAATCCAGTGCTCTGCTCCATGGCCCTCTCGCACCTTTAGCAAAGGGCTGGTATTTCCATGAAGCTCTGGGTCAGGGAACCAAGGCATTCCAGGCTGACTGTAACTTTGAGGGTTGCTCTCTTCTCCTGATGTTCCCTGTCTGCATGCTGGCCAGGGAATCTCGCCCACAGGTTTGGTTATGTTTCACCTCTGCCTCATGCCTGAATGTGCTGCCATCCCTGCTGCGCAGTGCTTTGCTCCTGTATCGGTTTGTGTTTGTGGTACTTCTTGTAAGGAATGCAGGGAGAGGGAGAGCGTGGCGGATGTGGGGAAGGAGCTTGCTCTGGTCTGACATGAGGAAGTGGGGGAAGGTCTGGGAAGTAAATGACTGACCCTGGAACTGTTCTAATTTTCTGGGGAGTGAAGCTTTCTAAAAAGCCCAGACTAGACAGGCTTCCAGAGCTTTTGCTCCCTCCTTCCTCTGCTGTAGCTATACCCTGTGACCTGTCAATCCCATAAGCACACAGATGTGTTCTCTCTTCTGCAGGCTGCAGGAGGACACAGAGGGCATGACAATAGACTTCAATGTGTATCAAGCAGATGCTGTGGCCAAGTTTAAGAAGACGAATCCTGGAAAGCCCTATGTCAGGATGTGTGTACGGAGGTATCAATAGTGCATTATGATTTCTGTTGAAATATCCCTGTTGCTGATGTGGGGATCCTAATGGTCTGTAAATGACCCAGGATCTTGGAGGCTTTGCAGATCATCAGAGTGACTGCCTCTAGGGTGGTCCTGCCCCGAGGTTTCCTTTTCTTTCTGTTCCTCCTTTCTTGGAGTCTGTGGCTGACTCTTCCCCCAGCCCTAGCACTCAGCCCACACTGTTTGGTCATCTGGTTGCTGCTCATGCGGGTATTACTGGAGTCGGGAACAAGAAGCAGCCACAGCTGTATTTATGCAATGCCTGTGAAACTCGCACCGAGCCCGGTTTTGCAGAGAGCCATATGGTATGTGAATCCTCAGCCAGTGCAGATCCCTGTGGATTTATGCAGAGCTGTGCCTACCTAGAGGTGACTAATGGCTCAGGGCCATGGGTTTAGTATTTTGATCTTTGTCATATGTAATTTTGGGGCAGGTATCTGCTTTCTTGCCCGATCCAGAATCTGATACTTAAATTCCATAGGTAGATGCAAAGTTCAATTTCTGCCTTTTCTAGTTTTGATATACTAAAACAGTCTCTTCTCTACTCTCAACTTCAGTAGAGACAGAGGAAGGAAGATGGTAATTCAGGTTTACAAAGGTCTGTGTTATGAATTAGTAGGATGATCCTTACTGCAGAAATATTTCTGCAGAGTCTGTTCATTCTTAAATGGAATTAAAAGGAGGTCAGATGTCGATCCCAGCAACCTAAAGAACTTCCTAATATAAAAGTATTTAGATTGGATTGGCAACTTGCCAGTAGCCCTGTGAGCTGCATCTAATAGCCACAGCATGGAGCACTGTACAGTTGCCCTTGTTTTCAGCAAAGGATTTGACAGCTCCTGGTTCCTGGCATGCGGTGTGCTCTCACTGCTGGCAGTCACCCGCTTTGCTTGAGAAGTGTGGGGAGAGTCAGTTCCAGCTCATGAGACCAGAGGGGGTGACCATTGTGAGCTCTGGTTTTTCAGGGATGCCCAGCTGGGTGAAGTTTGAGGGCAGCCTGGCTTGTTGCTGTGAATTGTCTAGCTATTGTTCTGTCTCTGATAAGCAAAACTTCCCAGAACAGCTGGGTTTATGTATTCTTCTGTGCTTTGAGAACTATTTTTCCTTCTACAGCTTTGACGAGCAGATTCCATCCCTTCGAGCTTTGAAGCAGGTCACATACCAGAGTGGGGACGTCCCGGTGGTCTTTGCACTGGTGGACCATGGAGAAATTGCCTTTTATTCGTTAAAGGAATTCAAGCTGCCAGTTGATATTAATCACTGAAGTTGCTGTCACGGGCAGAAGTGATGTGGGATGAAGGGGAGAGCTTTTATTCAGGATTTGTTTTCTTGATTAATGAAATACTATGGAAAATAGAGCTTATGATAACCAACTCTTACACTTGGTAGTCCACCACTGCAACTGGTTTTGTTCAACCAGGAGGTGGCTCATCTATAAAAGCAAATTTACTGCAGCCAAGCAGTGTGTACAGCTTAGCCGGGCGTTTCTGGACTGGAATACACACCGCTTTGTTCTTGAAGCCACTGGTTCTCCAGCTCTCTGATCTCATGGACGACTAGCCTTTTCCCTGTCATGTCTATCTGTCCTGTGGACCGCTAGAAAATACTTTGCTGGTGACCCTCTTTTCATATGTTAAGAACCACTGTGCTAAGCCAGTCTGAACGGTTGGAGAATCATTGAGGTCAGCCAGGGCAGAATAAGCTGATCAGGTCAGCGGTGGTCTCCTGAGCTTCTGTCATTCAGCTGCGCCAACGAACATTGGATCAGATTCTTATGTGAAAAACAAAGTCACAGCCATAAAACTCAGCCAAAGGAATCAAATTTCTAGATATTTGAGAGCAGGAAACTCTGGGCTTTGTGCGCTGTTTTGTCAACCAGAGGTCCCAGAAAACCCCAGAGCATTGCAGATGGCACCCAGCCTCGTGCTGTAATGGCTGTCCGGAGATGTGGTTTGGCCACACAGTATTATATTTTATTAAAATTATGCCACCAATATCAGCACACTGTGTCTGATTCTCTCACCAGGGCTGCACTGCAGCCTTCTCTGTTTTGTCTGTTGACATCCCTTTTTCTGGCTGTAGTTCCTTGTCTTTTCTCTTGCAAGTGAGAGATCCTTGAGCAAAAAAAGAAGCTACAGATTCCTCATGAGCCTTCCAGTCCCGTGGCTTTTGTGCTCCAAAGTGAGGATGAGTATCCCATCATTGCTTTCCAGGCCCTACCATGGGAGCCTTCTGCCAGGATATGCAGGTACCAAATCTGCTTTAGCCTCTCTGAAAAATGACCAGTGAGGGCTGCCAGAAAGCCTGCTCAGTGGATAGAAGGATGCTGAGCAGGGCTGCGTTCAGTATCTAGCTTTCGTCAGAAAGGTAATACCAATTGTTTTAGATGCATTTTATTTGATAATGTTTGAGTTCCTTTTGGGGTTGGGGAAGAGGCAAAGGCTAAAGAATAAAAAGCCTTTTCCAACAATGCAAGCTCCTGAGTGTTAACTTATTAACATTTCTGAGGAAACTAGGCAGAGAGGGATGCTCTGGGGAGGCTGTCTGGACGCCAGTAGCACTAGCTCCTGAATGCCTGCTCCTGGTCATACAACTAGGTGGCTACATGGCCCCTTTCCTACACCGGTTTTGTGTTCTCATCGGGCCTCGCCATCAACCATGCCTTAGTTCCCTAGGAGGGCATCGCGAGTCAGAGGCAGGAGGAGTCTGTACCTCTGCGTGCAGTCCCTGTCGGCACACACCCCCACCTTGCCATCTTCCTGGTGCATGGTCAGAGGTGTTGTAGCCCAGGGTGGCAGCGATCTGCTGCAAGCACTTCACCTATTCCTCTTCCGTGCACACACCTGTATTACCAGATGCTGGAAGTCATGAGGGCTCCACTGAGCTGAGGGTCTAATTTAATACCTCCTCTGACACACACCCTCCTTTTCCTCTTCCTCCCTCCTGGGAGGGGCTGTGTTTTAACTCTAATAGTCCTCTTTAAAAAGCCAGGGCTGTTGGCAGTTCTGGTCTGATCCCTCAGCGCTCTCCCAGACTGTTTTGCAGATTAAAGGCAGTGGGAGGTGAGTGTCTAAGAACAGGCATAGGCAGAAAAGCTCCAGTCCGGCCCATGGGGCTCACGTTTGTCCTGGAATTAGGTCAAATGCGTGCGCTCCTGTTGAATTGAATCAGAGCCTCATCTGCTTATGCCAAGGTGGAACTGTATCGATGGACAAGAGCCACCCAGTGAGTTTCGCTAGGGCAGAGACTCCCTGATTCAGCACAAAACAATTGCAATTTAATAACCGTGGCAGGGAGGATTGAGAAACTGTGGCTGCCTTGCTCAGCAGCACACCATCTGACGGTGCCTTTACCCCGCGGGATGAGATTGTGATGCAGACTGATACGGCTGCTTCGTTTGGACCCACGATGTGGAAGAGCTGGATGTTGCAAGGAGATGACAAAGTATTTTAATTGAATAATTTCACCTTTTGAAGCTCGGCTGAAACACTGACCATTACTGAAAACTTGTCTGAGGTAATTTCAAGCTTTGTGTCGCTGCAGAGACGTTGACAGACCTCGCAGTGCTGTTGCACTGCCACATAAGCACAGTCCTAGCCTGGCTCTTGTTGCCTTGCCGCAGGACCCGGGCTCCCCGCAGCGGTTGATCCCCGCGAAGGGTTCAACTTGCTGTTAAGTCTGTCTCGTTTTTGCAGCCGATGACGGGTGAGCCCCTTTTCTCGACGTTGCGTGGGGCCCTTGGCGCTGACGAACACCTGAGCGGGCT